AAAAAAGGTAAATGAATTTTGAGAAACATTATCCAAAGTAGCTAGATATGGGTCGAATTTCAATTTTGGAAAAAAGTCACTTATCAACTAGATCTAGTTCATAACAGATATGTACTTCACCTTAAAAGAGGACGGCAATGTTAAAGTTTGCAGGTAATGAGGGACATGTAGGTTGCCTTAGAAAAGTAAGACATTAAAGGCCTTGCCTAAAGAGATGAACAGAACCTAATATTTTAAAAAAAATACAATGGGCGTGCTTATCTTATGGTTAGCTGTCAGACAATTAATCTCCTAAAGAATTGTATAAAATTGAAGTGTTTTAATTGTGAGCAATCAAATTCATATTTGATAATCTTAAACAAGAAAGATTCATAAGACTACTGTCAGTATATTAATATTGAATTTTGATAATACGAGTATACCAGACTCTTAGTTTCTTTATGGATTCTATGATGTGCAAGATATTAAGTGAAACTTAAATATATTTTTTCTTATATATTTGTTGTATGTATGCTCCTATTGCACTTGCAGACTAAAACATTTTTGGCAAGCAACAATCCCTCACTCCAGCATCTACTCCCACTCCTAACAACTAAGTTCCACCTCATGTTTACAATCACAGAACTTACTCGCATCAAGTCCCTATAAATTGGAATAATCAATTCAAATCTCCCTAAAATTCAACGTCTCTACTCTCGCACTTCCAACCTTTCATTCATTTTCATCCTCATGGATATTTCATTACCTACCATCAAACATTTCTTCCTTTGCATTAAAGAAGTGTCCTCCCAACCTCTTGGGAGAAGGCCATGGATGAAGAGTTTACCAAAACAAAAAAAGAAGTTGGTTCGTCTTTCTAAAGGAGGCAGCAAATCATTTTACAAAATGAAGCTTAACCAAGATGGAAACCTTAAATGGATATAAGGTTAGGCTGGTAACACTTGACTAGGAGAGGATTATGAGAAGGCATTTGCATGGACCAAAATGATGATGGTAAAGGAATGACATATAGTTACCCGAATCGCCTATGAGGGTAACGATTCCAATTCGGAATCTCGATTCGGCATTTCCCTAGGTGAAAGCCGATTCTAAAAGAAAGGAATCACGTTTTCTTTTTTTGCAAAACGCGATTCCACCTAGTTTAGGAATCTCGATTCCTGGATTACCAGAATCAAGATTCCATATCGAGGACTTTATGATTCTTAGCTACACAACAATGCGATTCTGCTCGTGAGAAATGTTGATTCCAAATTTTTTGGAATTGCGAATCCATGTTGTTTGGAATCAAATTTCTATATCGCAGACATCGTGATTCCTTACTACACGACAATACGATTCTATTTATGCTAAATATTGATTCAAAGTATTAAGTAATTACGAATGTGAGCATAGGGAGAGCAGAAACCCTTCGATGTGTGCTCAATCATGAGTGAGCACGACATGTATGAGAGCGTGAGAGAATTTGAAGTTGTTGCACACGACAATAAATTCAAATTTTACTATATGAGTAATATGTGAGCATAGGGAGAGCAGAAACCCGTCAATGTGTCCTCAATCATGAGTGAGCACGACATGTATGAGAGCATGAGAGAATTTGAAGTTGTTACACATGGCAATAAAACCAAATTTTAAAATATAAGTAATATGTTAAATTTTTTATTTCTTTATTTACTAATGTCCATCATTCATTCCATGTTACTTTTTAAGAACTCTTACCAAGAACAAATAAGACTAAAAAAATATGTTACTTCAAATTTAATAATGTTTGGTACGTGGTGTAGGTACTAAACTACTAATGTAATAATGTTTAATATATGATCGGCACTGTCATTTCTTCAAGTCGAATAAGAGTATAAAAATGCTTTTCTTTAAGTAAAATAAGAAGATAATAAGGTTATGAGTGAAGTGCCCCGTGTGGTGTTTTCGGTTAAGGTAATCATTAAATATCAGAGAAATTGACTAAAAATTGAATAACTCAATTTTCAAAAGTCAAAAGACTCAAAACTACATTTAACAAAAGAAGAATTACTAGGTCATGTACTTATCTTATAATTCAAGGAAAGGAGATAAAGGGAGTTTGCCCTTGTTCTCACTATTTGTATGCCGTAGACTAGCTCCAGACCTTGTAGGCATAATAGGGTTACCGGTAGACCGAGTCAATTGTATGGGATTGTCCACAAAGATATCATAAAAGTTGACATTAGTACTTGGACTTAGAGTCTTGGACTGAGTATATACAGACCAAAATTCGATTATGTAGTAATGGGTAAATTTATATATTTTATGAATACTTCTCTCGTATACCAAAAGGAATTGGTTTGCAATTCTAGTAAAGGGAGAATCTCGATTCCAATATGGGGAGAATCACGATTCCAGAATGGTGAGAATGTTGATTCCAAGTTGATGGGGACAACGATTCTAGAATTTTAGGAATCACGATTCCTTAGTTTTAGGAATCACAATTCCTTATTTTTAGGAATCACGATTCCACATTTTTAGGAATCACGATTCCAGCAACCACCGAAACAAGTAGGGTCATGTGTTATTCCATATAGGTATGACACGCGATTCCAACATGAAGGGACATCGATTCTTGCAAGTAGGAAACACGATTCCTAATTTTTTGAATTGCGATTCCAAAATAGTGAGAATCATTTTTCTCAAATCTGAATCGTACGGACAACGATTCCTAGATTCCGAAACTTCTAATATACGAGATTCCGATTCCATAAACGATTCAGAATCATAGATGTTTCCAACAACTATAGAATGAAAATGGTAAACAATAGGGCTCAAACTTTATTCCATTATAGTTTCAAGTAGCCCTTCAGCAGATTACTCGATACTGAATCATAGATGTGGGTAACTTTTGCAAGTTGTACCACCCTTCAATTATGACAAGTACGTAACAGAAAGTACAGTATGATCGAAATGGTCGTCATACCATGGAGAAGGGTCACTTTTGCAAGTGTGACCTCTCTTCAATTAAAATTAGATATATAGAGATGACCAAATAATATGATCCAAATGGACATCATAACAGCACGGTCTATGGGCTGGATTGGACAGTGATGGAGAGATAGTCCAATGTGCTATTAAAATTAATGACATGTTCAGTGGGAACGCTTCATCCTCCATCATCATCAACCACTTATGGACCGATGAAGCTATAATAACCATACGGTTATGATGACCGTATGGATCATACCAGACTATGATTTCCCATATATCCACATATTCATACATGCATGTATTTGTGTGTGTTACATGCATGTATATGTTCATGTTCGTCTGTGAAAATTTCTACAAAAGATAGCAGCCTCTCCCAAAGAATACTCTGGAATACCTATCAGCAATAAGAGTAACCGATGATGCTGGTAGCCACCAAGATATACCAAACAGTTCTAGGAAATAATGCAAGATCATCCCTGCAAACCTACGTAGCAGCATGAGATGATCGATAGACTCTTTAGCATCCCTTAAGAAGAAAATATGGACAGGTTTGCCATCATCATCCCTAAAGAAAAAATAAAAGGGATGGGGCAACAGGCCCTCATGGTTGTGACTAGCTCTACTCTCTCATCCATCAAAAAAAAAACAATGGTCATGTTATTTAACTCCTAAAGAAAAGGAGGACCATGTGGTTATACTAATTAAGGTGACTTGATTTAGTCACAACATTCTTTTTCCGTGGCTAAGTTTAATAGGAAACTAAGTAAACATACTGGGATCCTTTCAATACTTAATGAGAAAGCTACTCATCTAAAGGTTCCTCAGATCCTCCTTGTTATTCTGGATCTGTTGGGCATCTTTGCGTCCATCAATTATTGTTCGTTGCAGATATGCCCCAGATTTTTCTTGTCAAGATTTTGCATGAATTGTATCAATGAGCTTCCCAAATAACCTAAAGCCATTCTTAAATATTCATTGAAAATAGACAAGCTACAAAAGTGATACTGCAGCTTCACAACTTTGTCACAATACAATGGACTAAAGGGAGCAGTAAACCCATGATGCATGAATTCATGAGATCAATTTGAAAATTCTCCAAAATATATAGGGATTTCCTGAAAAAAACATAAATAGAATTATTCCAGCATGATTTGATAAATCTGAAGGTGCTTTCCACCCTATCTGAAATAGAAATAGCACAAGAAATAAAGTGTAGCAAATGATAAAGATTAATATATTGTTTCAGAATCCATAGCTCTGTAATGCATACAATCTGAAGGTAATAGGTACATTAGAAGGTAACTCAAAGAGAAAATTCAAGAGCGGTACATTTCAACCCAATCTAGGTTATGTGGAAAAATATATCAAGTTGACAGGTGAGTAGGGGTGGAAACATATCGGGTCTGGGTCCGGCCGGACCTAATCTCAGACCCGAAAACGTATTATGGGACCTGGACATAGACCCAACCCAAAAATTGAAATATCTATGTATTTAAATATATTTAACTATTTTTCATAACTAAAAATATGTGGGACCCAAACCTGGACCCAGACCCGACCCGCCAAGTCCAATTTTTGCAGCCATACCCGGACCCGATTCGGGTACACCCGTCAGGTCTCGGGTCAGGTCCGGGTCCATTGCCACCCCTACAGATGAGCATGGAAAACAAACAAAGACCATGACTTTCACCAAAGCTAGACTACTCCATCATATTCTACACAAGCAAATAGCCAAAACAATCAACACAATTCATCAGCATGAACGTGAAAAGGATGCTTCCTCCTGGCAACAATCAGGAAATATAAAGCCTCAGGACAAGATCGAATGCGGATGTAAGTTGTAAAGTAGCATGCAGGAAATGCACGTGTATATGCACCTACTGGATAACTTCTAAAAAGTGAAAAAAAAAAGAACCCTAAAGACTAATCCCAAAGAACGTATTAAGATCCCCACTTTATACTAAGACAACAACAACTTGGGCTAGGGCAACTTAGCAAAACAGTAAAAGCAAGCAATCTAAATAAATGTTATCATGGAATATACTCACTGTGATATCCGCAGCAACCTCGATATGACACCCTGATGAGTATCACCTTCTTGAGTGCATACTTCACTTAGGCTTCCAAGACGTACTTCAAATTTATCATCAAGAAGGATACTGCTCGCTTGAACATCTCTTCAATCACAAAGACTTTATATTCAGTAAATGAACATGTATGCCAGAAGAACAAATAGTTAAGAAATCTCATTCCATGCAAAGTGGGTAGCATCTCATTTCAACAGACTGATATTGTCGTATAACTTGGTAAGAGAAAAAGGAAAAGATAAATCATTTCTGCTGAGAGAAAATATAACAAAGACTCACGCTATTAAATGACCCCAGGCCCCAAAACCTGTTCATTGTTGAATAACCCGCAAACTTGCCTACAACTACTAGTGGCTCCCAAAGGACTCAAGATGAGATCACCTCCTCTCCCCTAGTAACTCATGCCAGAAGCATGCAATATTGATTTTCCAAAGCGTGCCAACTTCAAATCATCCTCGAAAGCAAAACCCCAAACTTTCCAATAGAGGCACCTTCCTCCTTACACGCCACATGGAATAACTGTTTGCTGCCACTTCTAGGAAATAATTCCTTCATCCACTTACACACCACATGGAATAACTGTTTACTGCCACTTCTAGGAAATAATTCCTTCATCCAAGAGTAAATAGAGGAATGCGACAAAGATGACAATTGCCAAGCAAAAATAAAGTATTTGTTCACTGCAATCTCCATGAATAGCAGAAATACAAAACTCAGCATGTCATTTATATTAACACTAACATGGGATACGCTCAAAGAAGGTAATACGCAATGGTATGGAAACCCTCCATCATCTGCTTTCCTGTGAAAGTAGGCTTCTCCAATTATTGGATATAGTCTTTTCTCAAGGCATTGTTCTATTACTTCCAATAAAGCAAGTTTCCTGATCATCTATTTTATTTTTCTTATGTTAAAAGTGGGGGTTCGTCCTGATCAACTCTTTTATTTTTCTTGGGTTGGAGAGGGTGGTTCATCCTGATAATCCCTTTTATTTTCGTAATGTTAGAGAGCTGTATGCACATCACATGACCACTCAAAAACCTACTACTACAACTACTAAGGAAGGTAGACACCAATTCACTCTCAAAGACGCACTATTTGTGCACCTTATGCAGTGAACAAATACTAAAGTAGAAGACAGTGACAACAGCAGTAATAAATTAGGCTGTAGTCATGATCATCACATTTGTTTTGTAGAGGAACCCACCAATAGAATCAATCAGCAGAAGGGGAAGTTGATTTGTTGTACCTGTGAACGAGCGGAGGAGTGCATTCGTGATGGAGGTAAGAGAGAGCCTCAGCAGCTCCAATGGCAATCTTGAGCCTCGTGATCCAGTCGAGAGACTGCAAACCATCCTCCGCCTGACCAGCCTTCCTGTATAAAGAATGGGAAAGATCGCGATTGGGCATGTACTTGTAAATGAGGAGCTTCTCATTCTCATGTTCGAGGCAATGGCCCAAGAGGGGCACCAATCTTGGATGAGAAGCCCTCCCAAAGAGGTCAAGCTCCGCCATGTATCCCTCTCTTTTGACCACGCGCAGGTCGATCCTCTTCACCACAACAGGGATCCCGCCCTCTAGAGTTCCCGGGTACAGATCTCCAGAATGCCCGTGCTTGATGAGATTCGAGTCTCCAAAGTCTTTGGTGGCAAGCACCAATTGCTCGTAGGAGAAGGCCTCCCCCAATTTGGAAAGGTTTATGCTGAACGCCTGCCCTGGAGGAGACACAGCACTACCACCACCCTTGGCTACCACAGCATTGTTATTATGCAAAGACGGTGAGTCCATGGTATCTCTTCTTCTGGCGTCACCACCATCAGTCCTCCCGCGGCAGCACTTGAGAAGGAGACAGAGCAGCAGCAGAAGCACTATAAGGCCGAGACCACCACCAAGGGCAGCCCCGAGAATGATCCTCAGCCTCCTGTCCTTGCTCTTCCTGCCAGGAGGAGGGGAAGATGAGAGTGAAGGTGCGGGGGAGGTGGTGTTGGGGGGCCCGAAACCGACAAATGTCAAGCCTCTTGCCTGGTAGAAGGAGGCACATTCTGAGAGGCTCCTCTGGTTTGGTACTTGGCGAAGACAGTTGAAGGCGAAGGTTTGAGGAGTGCTGCTGGTATTATTAGGTGAGGGCGATGATGCCAAGGCAGGGGGAAGGGAGCCTTGCAGATAATTGTAAGATAGATCCAAGGAGGAGGAGAGAGATCTAACAAGACTGGCCCCCAGCTGGGATGAGAGGGCGCCATAGAGGAGGTTATGGGAGAGGTTCAATTGGGCAACAGAAGATGAGATAGAAAGGGGGAGGGATCCAGTGAGGTTATTGCGGGAGAGATCGAGAAGGGTTAGGTTGTCGCGGAAGAGAGAGGGAGGGATGGTGCCATTGAGGGAGGAGGAGTGGAGATCAACAAATTTTAGAGAAGAGAGGCGGGGAAACCAGGACGGTATGGGGCCAGGAAGGGCAAAATTGGAGGCGTTGAAGGAGGAGAGGAGGGTGAGGTTGATCAGGGCATCTGCAGAGAAACGAGGGTTCATACGACCGATGCGAGTCCGTCTCAGCCCCGAGATATTGAGACCGACAACTTGACCCGCTCCATTGCATTGGACCCCGACCCACTGTGTGCACGGGTCGGCCTTCCTTGGCCAGTCCCTGCTCCTAAACCCAAGAGAAGACCTAAGGCTAAAGAGGGCACCCCGGTCCATGTGAGAGCTCAACTGCTGGGCCACGGTCTTGGTTTGCGGGGAGGAAGAAGAGAAGATTAAGAGAAATGAGAGCAGCAGCAGGAGCATCTCGTGGGAGCGATGATCTGCCGCCATCTCTGTTCCTTCTTCTAAGAAGCAGCATCTATCTACCTATTTTTCTCCTTGCGTCAAATCAATCAAATTTGTCTTCGTTAGTTCCAAAATCACAAGGAAAGAGAGGAAAAATGGAGGGCTGCTGTGCTGTTCGCTACACTACCGGTGCTCTACTACTACTGCTGCTTATTGTATTGTTGGTACTGGTGTTGAATGTTGTAATTGTACTTGTCTTCCCCAACATCCATCACATTTATTCTGTGGGAAATTGGGCATTAAAGACTCTGCATCTACTCCTCTCTCTTTCTCTCTCTCTCTCTCTCTCTCCGACTGTCCATCATGCGTGCTGCTATTGACTGTGCTCCTTAAACAATATGAAATCACAGAGAGGCAGCCACCCCTTCCTTCCAATTCCATTCCATTTCCGAGCTGCCGCTTTCTTCCGAGCTGCCACCCGCCCAGCCGGAACCGGCGCCGGCATGCGTCAGTAGTATTACTATCTAATTAAATGCACCATTTTCATACTTACTATTATTATTAGTAATACTGGTATTTAGGAAGGTTGACCGACCCGTATCCCGCCTACGGCGACCAACGCCCATCTCCCACATTTCCGTCTCTCTTCATATGCTTACCACCTTCTTCCCCTTATTTAAATTAATTTCCTAAACCTTACTTATTTGGAACTGTAGTATTACCAAAACACCCTTGATGGGTTATCAGGCCAGTGGACAGAAAGAGAGAGAGAGAGCGCGTGTGAGCTGCTACGTGGCGATATTCAACCCGCAAAGCCTACAAAAATAAAATAAAATAAAATAAAGGGGTAGTCATATTGATCGATGGCTCATGGCCCCCGTTTGCGTTGCAAGTTGGGGTGGCAATGGACCCAACCTGCTTCTGGATCCAGTTACCCCGGATTTAGTTACGGGTTTAATTTTTGGATCTCATGGGTGAGGTTTGAGTCTAAAATATTGAGTCGATCAGTATGTGGATCTGGATCAACTGGACCTGAGCTGTACTTGTAAACTATCGGAGATAAAATACTTTATTTTAAACCCTATTCGCTTTGGTGTATGAAGGATGATATACAATAAAAACATGTAGTCATCTTTAACTATTAAAGGGCAAATGAAACAGGTAATTGGGACCTTGTTGTCAATAATACGGGCATCGACAGTAAAAACTCGACCTGGTAAGCAAAGGGCCCGACCTGAGAATAAAACTCGACCCGGTAAGCAAGGTGCCCTACCTGAGAATGAAACTGGACCTGGTAAGCAAGGTGCCAACCAACATATAGGTTCAGCTCGGTTCCAAGTCGACGGTTTGGAATTCTGGCACGGTTCTAGCTTGGACCAATCCGAACCCAGTCTGAGTATTTACGTGTCTCGAGTGGACAAATTCAATCCTGATGTAGTCCGATGTTAGATTTAGATCCACAAAATTAGAGGCGACCCGTGAACAGGTAACTTCTTTTTGAGCAACCGAAGTCGCTGTTTACTTTTAAAAAGGGGCTTGGGATAAAATTGCATGGAAGGAAATGGGTTTTTAGGTGAATGAGAAAATGACACACATGTTTTAGTTGTCTGATTGATTTAACAAAGGTGGGGAGGGAGAGGAGACTTTGCTTGAAGACTCAAGTTCAGGTCAAAGCCACATGACGTGGCACATATAAAATATCTGACGTGGCAACCACATATATTACTCAACTTAAACTTCGTCTCCAACTCCCTTCATAAAATATAATCTTCTGCGCCTTTATTATCCAACTTGAGCCGGACATATGACCTACACTCGGTCTCCAACTCCATGGATAAAATCATTTCCGCCTTTGTTTTCCAACTTTTCGCCGTTTTGTTGGTTTCCTGACAAAACAGTTTTCCTTTTCTTCAAACAAACAGATAATAAAATATCCATTTGGAGGGACGACCACGACACTCGAGGGAGAGAGACGCAAACGTGGATTAAATGAGTAAGTAGCGAGTTTGACTTTGCTTCATGTGACGGGGTCTGGTAGCACACCACATGCGAGGTGGAAAGTAGAAACAAAACCCATACCCAACATAATATTTGAAAAACATTTATTCATAAATAATTTTAATAGTAAACTAGCAGTTTACAAGGAATTCACGATTGTTATTGGCCATTAAATTTCAAAATAGATGGATTGGGACGTGTTCCAAGATTCTGTAAAGTTTTCTTCTTTTTTTTTAACTTTGAATCCAGTTAATAATATACCCACAACCCCCCAATTTAAAATATGATGGACACGAGTTTGGTTCTCATAGCTCCAAACTAGAGTTTTAGCCTCATAATTGATAAAATAATGTTTGGTACTAAAAAAATGAGTATTGTCTAGAAAAAATCTTCTTTTAAAAACAACCAATTTAATTTTTTTCTTTATTTTTTTGGTAGTTTGCCTCACTAGTTTCTCTTTTAAAACAAAAAAATTTCAATATTAGGAGTACTGAACATTGTCTTAACTTAATATTTTGTTCGGTACCGAAAAAAATCTCTTTTGTAAAATAGTTTCTTTTTCTCTTCTTCCATAATCAAGTTCAGTACTCAAGGTACCAAATCAGTTTCTATTAAAATAAACAAGAAGATTTTGTTTTTCACTGGGATTAACGAACTACAAATTAAACCAAGACAATATTCGATACTCATAGTAAAACATTATTTTCGCAATCACGAGGCTAAATCTACACTTCGGTACCCTGAGAACCAAACTTAAGAGAATTTTGAAAAACAAAAAAGAAAAAACAGGTCGAAGAAAAATAGATATCTACATTAAATACAAAAATTTTGACATATATCTAAACATCCTAAAAAATAAGAGATATATATTAATTTTTTAAATTAATATTAAATATATTGGTTAAGTTGCATGCCCAAAATCAATTAACCGCTGTTGTTCTTCCCTCCCCTCCTTCCTAGACCACAAACACGTTCAAGTTGCGTCCTTTTCGGAGCGCTCTCAAAAGTCGTCGTGCATCCAAAATTACAAACAAGCCACTGCGCGGAGGCTATAAAGTCAAAATCCTTGGTAATGTGTACAAAACACAAATAAGGTTAACCATTCACACCTAGTAACGTATACAAAGCACAAATAAGGTTAACCATTCACACGTAGTTGAACTCAGCTCTTGGAAGGGGTTAGGGTCGCGGTGGTAGTACCCCATACCTTACTCACCACATTGTGGTTTTTATTTTCTACTATCTCGTTTATACTTTCAAAAACTTACCTCTTAAATTATTTGACACCATCCCACTAACATTTTAAAAAACCTAACTCCTAAACTATTTGATAGAAATGGGCATGGACATGTCTTCCCCACTGAATTATCCAAACCAAAAAACTAAGCTCTTGCTCACCCATAATAAAACTGCGAGAGTTTCACTAGAATGGGTGGCATGCTAGCTTGCACTGCCGCAGCAGCCTTGTTTAAGTAAATACAAGCTCGTAGCTTCGGGCTTTCCTCTTCCTCCTTTCTTTTTCCCTCTACCTCGGCTCCTCTCTTCTTCTCTCCTTTTTTTTTTTTCTTTTTTTTTGGCAATATTACGAACTTTTGGACAAAGATTGCTTGGAAACCATCGGTTACATTGCTGGACAGAGCAGGTAAAGAAACCTCCGCTCCTCTCTTCTCCCTCATCCTTTTTCTCTTCTCTATTCCCTCCTTTTTGGAGTTGTTCCTCCTTTTTTGCTTTCTTTGTTTGTTTGATTTATTATTGTCTTTCTTCACCATCTTAATGAAACTTTCTAACATTCAACATTAAAAATACAGAAATACCAGCTCATAACAGGCTCCTATTGTTAACAGTATAAAAATTATTTCTCATTGATTATGCGAAAAAGGGAATGTAAAGCCATAACTAGTTACCACCATTCACATATGGCTTAAAAACAAATAATGGTAAGGCTTTGACCGCTCGGTATTGCAATTAGGACAAATCTTAAAAACAGCCCCACCCCTCCCCTCCCCTCCCCCGGCCCTTCTTTTCTCCCACCCACATGTTGATTTACTGCGGGCACGACACCCTTTTTTCAATTGTTTAACTAAATGACCAAGGTGACCCTTACTAACTTAATCTAAATGACAAATTGGGCCTATCATTTCCAAGGACATCAACCTTTCAAGCTACGACCAATTTAGATTTGCTTCACTTTGGCCAACGTGGACAAAGTCTTTGGATTTTAGTCATAGACCGAAGCAAAGCGAAGCTCGGTACTATTGCTTCGGTCAACTTTTGGCCGATTTAGCCAAAGCAAAGAAATATCTATATAAAAATATTTTTTATTTTTATGAAATTTTTATTTTTAATTTTTTATTATTTTTATATATTTTTATATGGGAAATGACCTTGTGAGATCCTCTCACACTCATGTGTGTAGGACCCCAAATGATCACCATTAAATTTGACACATATCTCTAAAAAAGTCAAGTCTTAGATATCTGTGTCGGTGTGGGAGAGTCTCATAAGATCATTACTATTTATATATATATAAATATCTAATCTTTTTATATTAACTTTTTTTATTTAAAGTCCGAAGTCTTCGCCCAAATGGACCTAAGCACCGAATTGCTTAGTTTTTCTCACCACACCAAAGATGACCAACTATAGACACACCCCGCCGCCCTATTTTTTAGGGAGGGAATTTCTAGAAACCCATAACCTAAACCACTAAGGACCACAACCGTTGTCTAGATCTATTAGGAAATATAAGAAATTATCCCTATGACTCAATTTAGGAAACCAACACCCAAAATGGTACGTTTGAAATTGTGAATGGGAAAATATTTGAAACGCCCTACCGAGATCCCATAATATGGAAAAACAATCGCGAATTCAAGGGAAGCACAGAAATCCCCACGAAAATCGAGGTCATAGAGGTTGCTAACAATGCATACCATGTCACTATATATAAATATGTCGTTCCCGTATGGTTTCACGACAGATAGAATTATGAATCGGAAAATTGTATCATGCTGGCCGGACCGCATTTCTACATATGTGGTTCAAAAAGTGTAAAGCATCCATATTAAAGATAGATGCAGATAGGTGTTCCATTTAAAAATAATAGAAACTAACCATCCAAATGTTTTTTTACTAGAATTATTATTTTTAGTTTTAAAATCTATTTATTTATTCATATTTATGATCTCCATGTTAGAGACTACATGTCTTTAAAAATTAAATCTTAAAGCCCATTGCAAAAATAGATTATTAAGAGGCCCGCATTTCAACATATGCAGGCTCGGCCACATAGAAATTGGGTTCTTATGAGTCTCCTTCACCCCATTAAGGTTTTGAAAATTGTTTCATGCAGGCTGGACCGCATTACTACATATGCGGTCCAAAAAGTGTAAAGCATCTATCTTAAAGAAGGATACAAGTAGGTGTTCCATCTAAAAACAATGGAAACTGACGACCCAAATGTTTTCTTACTATAATTATTATTTATAGTTTTTAAAATTTAC